AATAATAATAATAGTAAATGTTGAAATTGTTACCATTTCATTTCAACTGTCATGCTTAAAGATGCACATCTTTAAATATATACACAAAGGCTATAGCATTAAAAGTATATACATATGGATATTGTATGTATACTCTCACACTTTAACTGCTTCTATTCTTGAACACTTGATGATTATCTAATCAAAATAAAAGTGCAGCGCTGAGTCTAGGAGAACTCACCGGTATCACACACACTCCTGACGCGTCGCGTTCAACTCGAGCAACTGTCTAAAACAGTTTATTTAATCACCAAACGGACACAAGTTTACTTCAAGAATGAACAATTTGGCATGGATGAGTTTGAAGTTCGGTGTTTAAAAAACGGAGCAAACGGAAAGAGAAAGCGCGACCTATATTATAGCTCTATAAATGAAGCACACAGACTTTATTAGAGCCACAGAAAGACAAACGTTTTGCTGAAAATGCACAATACACGATTCGTTATGTACATTAATGATTCGGGACCAATATAATGTAATTTAAAGGAAAACTATGTGAATGGTGCTCTGTGGCGCGGCATGATTTTCTGTCTGCTGCATTTAAAGCCGCGTCTGAAGTTTCCCGCTCTGTTCAGTGTGCAGTATCACGTGTCTAAACAAATAGCACGTGCTGTCAGTGATTTCAACCACTAGAGGCCGCTCTCACGCTGTGTAATGACAGCAGACCCTTCTCAGCCGCTCCAGCAATGGACGCAACCCGGAAAACTATCGGCATGGATTTTTGTCGATAACCGATAGTTCCAGCAATCAACTATCGGTGCCGATTAATCGGCAAAACCGATACATCGGTTTACCTCTAGTTAATATATATAAAATGTAGTAAATTGCAACCTAATCACAAATATTGTTAATAGAAATGACACTCAAATGTATTTTAGTTTAACAAATGTAATTAACATGATTATAAAATTACATATAAAGATGTACTTAAGTCCTATTCAAGAGTGTCAAAAATGCACTCTTGCATTTCATATAAATCTAAACTACAAAACATTTTAATTTAATCGCAATTAATGTGCACATAAGTGTTTGAAATCATTACATTCATTTCAGACTTAAGCATATTCTTTGAAGGGGTCCTATTATGCCCATTTATGAAGTCTTGATTTGGTTTTTGGGTGAACTAGAATAGGTTTTCATGCTTGATTGTTCTAAAAATGCATTATTTTTCACATAGTTTACATTACTGCAGCACATCTCTTCCCAGTCCGTCTCAAACACCCCGTTTAGCTCCTGTTTCGATGAAGCCCCTCCCTCTGAAATACGAAGCATGCTCTGATTGGTAAGCTAGCTTAGCGTGTTCCAGAAATCACACCGCCCTTACCATAACCGCGAGTTTAATCTGCTCAGCTGTAAATATTAATGATGGCGTCAATTTTGCCATACCAATTCGAGCCCAATTCAGCCCCTGAGAACGTTTATGAACAAGAGGATCGTGCAGAGGCTTTGCAAGCATGGATTTTACAGCACGGAAAATATCTGGAAAAAATGTGCAGTAGTCCGAATGAGCCGTTTGCTGTAGTTCTGTTAAAGCAAATATCTCCTTTTAGAGTGGACATTGAGCTTTGTTACCTTGCAGACCTTTTTATGCTCAAACTGCAACATTACACACTAAAGTTGAAAAAGTATAATATAAAAAAGCATGAAAGGCAGGCATAAAAGTTTATCACGTCCAAAATAAGGGCGTAAAAAAATTTATTTAAAAAAAAAATAAATACTCTTTTTAAAAGTATGATAAAGTGTACTTCTTTTTCACAAGGGACAAAGAGGACCTTAAGGAGACAAAATGGATGTAACCACTCAGAAATGTTCCTAATCACAATTTATTAACGGTGTATAAGTTTTATTAAATTAAATTAATATTAAATGTTCTAAAATAGAGAATATAAAAAATAAACAGAGAAAAGTAGCACAGATTAAACTTACAGTCGTTCCAGTGATGACAAACCAATGAAAGAGCCATTCAGAAGTTCCTGGATTTTATTGTTACTCAAAATCCTGTGGAGAAAAAAAAAAGATTGATATGAAAAATCATGTGGCCCCAGACAAATACAAATTGAAACTTGTAAGTAAAAACTGAACGTGTTATTTTCTTGCAAGTTCATCCTCAAATTCATATTCTTCATCCTCTGGACTCAATGGATAAAGTAACTCAGAAGAAAAATATTTTGCTCATTGTATAACATTACGTAAATTCTACATGATCATTCATTGCAAAAGCTTTATTACCAAAGTGACCAGGCAAATACAAGACCAGGCAGCTGAAATTACAAAAGTCTAGCTAAGCTCTTAATCATCAGAAAGAAGACATGGAAAATAACCATAGCAGCCAACTGGGGTAGTTACAGGTCTGTACTGGTAACCTAAAGGTTTTATGGACTACATCACTACTGTAGCCTAACGAAAACTGGACTGTACTTGTAGTAAGTGTTCTGTAAATTAGGATTGGATGAAAATTTCTGCTAAATGAAAAAAAACAACGTATGGCAGAAAGTACATCAATTGATTAAACCCATGTATCCTATTTGATCACTTCTGATTCAGTCCAACAGTACAGGTCTGAAACTAATCGGATGTCGCCTTGCTTCAATTTTCCACACAGATGACAGCCAATTGGCTGACATGACTATTAGTGGAGCGGCGCTTTAGTGGCTGGCTCAGGAAAACAGCAGAAAATCTGTTTTGCTATAAACGGTTACAGTGCTAAACACAGTCTTTGCCAGCTTACAAGTGACATGCAAGAAAGAAAACACTCGCAATGGATAAATAATGCACTGTATTTAACTTGGTTCTATTTTGAAACATGAAATTACTGCAAAATGAAACAAAAGTCTCTAATTTCAGGTCACACATTAGTCTGGGGTCCAATTCTCACTATTAACTACGAATTTTGCCTCAAACTCCTAATTTACCGCTTATTAATAGGTTTTAATTAGTAATTAGTAAGTAAATACTAATTAGTAAGGTAATTGTTAAGTTTAGGGGGTCTATAGTATGGGCATGCAGAATAAGGCATTCGTATGTTTTATATGTACTAATAAACAGCCTATATTCTAGTAATATGTATGCTAATAAGCAACTAGTTAATAGTGAGAATTGGTCCCTAAACTAATGTTACCTAATTTTACTAACTTTTGTAGCACTAGCTAACCAATTAAGCTGTCATTGGTTAACATTAGTTAACTGCATTAATTAATTTTAACTATTAATGAACAAAACTTCTACAGCATTCATTAATCTTAGCTACTGTTAATCTTAGCATTTAATAATGTATTTTTCAAAATAACCCAGCATGTGTTCTGTCCAATATTTACTCAGCGCTGGGTTGCCAAATAACCCAAATTGGGTTGTTTTTTAACCCAGCATTTTTTTAGAGTGTAGTATTATTCAGATACTATTATAGTCTTTATTAATATTTTGATTTAGTTTTTTTGTATTTTCATTTTAATATGACATTTTTTGTATTTTTTGTTATTTTCTTATATTTCTAAATTATTTTAAATTTTTATTTCAGTTTTAGTTATTTTAGTGCATCCAGTTAAACACAATTTAAATGAGAAATGTTGCTTTGGCAACTAGCTAACATATATATATATATACATACAACAGTTCGTTCTGGTTCTCAAATCTGATTGGTTGTACTGGTATCGCTACAGGAACGCCCTTTCACAATTTTGTATCATGTTCTAGCCAGGTCTATGTTTTTTGTTTTTTTTTATTATTCAGTGAGCTAATAGTAGAGTACGTTAGTTAATATAAGAAGAAACGTCTAGCTTTGCAGGTCTCTCTCTCTCTCATTAGGATGCAAGTCTTGCCGCATTGTTTCTCTCTTATAACCTCATTATTTCTCACTAATAACCTAATTAAAGCAGCACATGCCCTTGATACGAATCCGTGAAGGACGCTGTTTGACACTCTCCAACGAGATGAAATTAACCCGACACGAGTGTTTATTATTCCCTATTTTAATTCAACTTTTCTCTCAAAATGTAACGACTTTCTTTCTCGTAATTTAACGAGTTTATTCTCAACATTTTATTTCGACTTTTTCCCCTCAAACTTTAATGAGTTTTTTCTTGAAATTTAACGACTTTAATCTCGAGATGTTTTATTTTATCTTTTTTATTATTGCTTGGCCCTAATCCTCTTTCGTTTGTGTGTGTGTTATTTTCTCACTAATAACCTAATTAAAGCAGCACATGCCCTTGATACGAATTCGTGAAGGACGCTGTTTGACACTCTCCAACGAGATGAAATTAACCCGACACGAGTGTTTATTATTCCCTATTTTAATTCAACTTTTCTCTCAAAATGTAACGACTTTCTTTCTCGTAATTTAACGAGTTTATTCTCAACATTTTATTTCGACTTTTTCCCCTCAAACTTTAATGAGATTTTTCTTGAAATTTAACGACTTTAATCTCGAGATGTTTTATTTTATCTTTTTTATTATTGCTTGGCCCTAATCCTCTTCCGTTTGTGTGTGTGTATTATTTTTAGTAACTTTTTTTATAATAACCCTGGTAACAATATATTGCTCGTTGTTAGTTAATGCAATATGTCGATGGCTGATGTCATCGAGGCCGCTTAGGTTTCAACCAATAGGAGCCAGATGTATCCTCCACTACAATTTCTGGTATTGATCACTCACTTTTCACAATCTAATAAGCTCTTAATGAATGAAATCAAGTCTCACACTTTATTTTTATTAGTTAATTAAATGTATTTATTTAGTCCCGTTTCACTTATGTGTTTTAATAAACAGCAATGAGACTTTATGCATCCTAACCAAATCAAAATCTTGGTTTACATTAAAACAGCCAGTCTAATATTTGGAGATATGTTCTGTAATAGGCCAAAAAATGGATACACAGCCAAAACGAACACATTTAAAGCTTGACCTTTATGCAACAGAATAACACGTAGACAATACTATAGAAATAGTTTATCATTCATGTTCAATTAAACTGAAGCTGGAGAGATTACATACAATATGTAATGGTTCTCTCAGATTATATTCTCATCTGTCTGCAATTACAGTTGTGTTTTTGTTTTTTCTTTTGTGTTTTTCAATCTGGGCGACTTAAATCTCAGCTTTCCAAATCTATTCCTTGACAAAGGGAGGAAGAAAAATGCCTGAGAACATTCTGAAGTTTGTATGGATAAACATGCAGACGCTGCCTTGTGACTCTGATCTGTCGAGATACATTTGAGCGCGATACTGATATTCATGAGCGCAGCGATCTGCCAGCTGGGAGCCATTCCCCTCCCTCATGATTACAGTATGAGCCCAGGAGAATTACTGACACACAGCTCCCTGAGTACAAGTTTAACAGCTTCTACAAGATTTTACTGAGCACTGATATGATTTCGCTTGAGCCAACACACTGAACGAGTTGCTTTCTGAATGTAATTTGACATTTAATAAATCACAGGATTCATTTAATACAAGCAAGAACAATGCAAGTCAATTAAACATTCTGTTGTTGCTTTCTTTACATTTAAGGCCGATATAAACTACAGTTAAAAGGTTTGGGTCAGTAAGATTTTTTTTTTAAAGAAATTTATATTTTTATTTGGTGAGAAGGCATTCAATTAATCAGAAGTGACAAAGACCGTTACATTGTTTCAAAAATAAATGTGTGTGGGTTTTTTTTCCCAAATAAATGCTGTTCTTTTGAACTTTCTATTAATCAAAAGATCCTGAAAAAAATTTATCAGTTTCAGAATTCCTTTTTTTTTTTTTATTAATAAGAAAGCACCAAAATAGCATATTAGAATGATTTCTGAAGAATCATGTGATACTGAAAACCTGGCTGCTATGTAATGGCTGCTTAAAATTCAGCTTTGCCGTCGCTGGAATAAATTACATTTTAAAATATATGTTAAAGTTGAAAACGGTTATCTTAAACTGGAATATTACTGTATTTTTCATCAAACAAATGCAGCCTTGGTGAGCTGAAGAGACTTTCAAAAATATTTAAATATCTTACCAACTCCAAACAGCTCAATATTTTTCAGTTACGTGACATTCAAATATGTTGATATTTATGTATTTCCTGTAAAGTAAAATACTTCCTTGACACTTTATTTTTCACTAAATTAAGAATGATATATCATTTTCATTTCTATGCACAAACATAGTAATAAACAGCCATATTAAACAACACGTTATTATTTCATCCCATGAAAAATTCCACACTTCTATATAGACATTTTTCTTAAAGGCCAAATAAAATCACATTAAAATTATTACACTATCCAGAATGTTGCTATACTTTATATACAGCCAGCAGAATTATTGTGAATATATAATAAATATACATTATCTACCAAGAATGAATAATAGACAGGCTGTTGTACAGGCTCACATTTTGGGGAGAAGTCCACTCGTCTGAGACAGGAGATTCAATCAATTAGCATTCAAATGAGCGTCTAGCTAGGCACCAACAGGTCTCCTATGCTGGAGACAGATGGTGTAGATACAGCCTTATCTTGATTCCCTGCAAGTGTGTAGTGACCAAACAAATAATGCTAATGGAAAGCAAAGAGAGCACAAAACGGTTTACATCAATTCTAAATCGGTCCAAATGCAAGTCAATTAAACATTCTGTTGTTGCTTTCTTTACATTTAAGGCCGATATAAACTACAGTTAAAAGGTTTGGGTCAGTAAGATTTTTTTTTAAAGGAATTTATATTTTTATTTGGTGAGAAGGCATTCAATTAATCAGAAGTGACAAAGACCGTTACATTGTTTCAAAAATAAATGTGTGTGGGTTTTTTTTCCCAAATAAATGCTGTTCTTTTGAACTTTCTATTAATCAAAAGATCCTGAAAAAAATTTATCAGTTTCAGAATTCCTTTTTTTTTTTTTTATTAATAAGAAAGCACCAAAATAGCATATTAGAATGATTTCTGAAGAATCATGTGATACTGAAAACCTGGCTGCTATGTAATGGCTGCTTAAAATTCAGCTTTGCCGTCGCTGGAATAAATT